TGAGGTCTCCAGCCTTCTCCAAACAGCAGGAGCTCTCACATCTCTGCCTCTGCTGCTATTTTAGGATTAAAACCTCCATGGGTTGGAAATTTACCTCTGCAAGAAAGGGGAAAAAAAAACCCAACAAATGGTTGCTCCCTGAAGACCTGGTATTTTCCCCTGAGTCCCTCATGGTTTCAAAGGCCTCTAATCATCATGGCTGCAAAAGCTGGTYCCCTGCTAAGGCAGTGGGAAGCTCAAAACAATTCATTTAAAGCCTTAGAAGAAGGAATTATTGGGATGAAAAGTGTACAATCGCAAGAAATTAGAGAGAAAAAGCAATGACCACCAGAGTTTGGTGTGCCAGAGCCAGGTCTGGACCTTCCTCCTCCCCGGCTCAGCTGAGCTTCAGCATTCCCAGAACGGGAATTTTGGTGGGGAAAGGGAAGGGGTTTTATGTCCCTGGGGCAGATCAGAGCACATGGAGGTTTGGAAGAGGGTTTTGGGGTTTTGGGGTTTTAGGGCTGGGCTGAGCTGCTCTCCTGCAGCACCACAAGGGTTAAGGCTGCAGCCTTCAGCGAGCTGGAGACAGAGAGAGCTGCGACTTGAAAGGTAATGGAAAGCAGCAGCTGCTTTTTTGATCCTGCTATACAGCCAAAGAAAAAAAGGAATAATAATTCCCCTTTGATTGCAAAGTCCCCGGGATTTGGGGACAAAGCCTGTGATTCCCGCTGCCAGCTGGTGGGGAGAGAGCGTGGGGCAGCCGGGCATTGCTGGAGAGCCCTGCCCCAACCTGCTCCTCCTGGAGTTGCCCCCAGTGCCCCCAAAACTGCCCCACACAGCCAGACTGCCCCCTGCCCTTCAGGAATCCCAGCCCAGAGCAGCTCCCAGGGCATGGCAGAACCCAGCACCAGCAATCTGGGCAGCACTGGGCTCACTGGTGCTTGCTGAGCTCGGCCCAGCTCCTGTTTAATTCCTCTCTCACTCTTCCCACCATCCATGTTCTGCCATCCTCAGCCAGTGGAGGATTTTTTTCTTCCCTCACCTCAGTCCTCACGGGTTTTTTTTTGTTTTTTTGCCTCCCCAGCCTCCCCCTCCGCTTCTGGGTGAACGTGATCAAAAACCCGCAGTTCGTGTTCGACATCCACAAGGGCAGCATCACGGACGCCTGCCTGTCGGTGGTGGCTCAGACCTTCATGGACTCGTGCTCCACCTCGGAGCACCGCCTGGGCAAGGACTCGCCCTCCAACAAGCTGCTGTACGCCAAGGACATCCCCAGCTACAAGAGCTGGGTGGAGAGGTGAGGGTGTGGGGGGCTCTGGTCCTGCCCAACATCCCAGGGATCTCAGAACAGAACATTCTGAGCTGGGTGGAGAGGTGAGGGCAGCGTGGATGCAAGGGGCTCTGGTCCTGCCTGACATCCAGGGATCTCAGAATGGAGCATCCTGAGGGTGGAGAGGTGAGGGCAGTGTGGGTGTGAGGGGCTCTGGTCCTGCCTGACATCCCAGGGATCTCAGAGCATCCTGAGCTGGGTGGAGAGGTGAGGGCAGGGTGGGTATGGGGGGCTCTGGTCCTGCCTGACATCCAGGGATCTCAGAACATCCTGAGCTGGGTGGAGAGGTGAGGGCAGGGTGGGTATGGGGGGCTCTGGTCCTGCCTGACAT